AGGGCTACCATAATTTGTGAGCAACATGTATGTACATGTTTGTATTTTTGAGAGAATATTGTTTATGCATGGTTATTGAAAAAAATTAAAATTAAAGTTTCTGAAATAAGGCCACAAAACACATACTAAATATCTGTCCACAAGACTTTTGATTAATGGATGTTCTCGCCTAGAGTTTTTGCTTCAAAATGATCTGAAAATCATCCTGCCTAATCATTCACATAAAACAATAGATTGTTTTAAATTGTAAAAAAAAATTTTTTGTCTGGAAAGGCAATATGCGTGGAGGCGTGAATGGCCCAACCCCCTCATGTATAATTAGGTGGTTCTCACCTGAGAAGACAAAGACCCGCATAATGAGCCTTTCATTCAGGTGTGTCACACAAGAAAGAATGCAAGGACTATATATATATATATATATATATACATATATACATACATACATACACACACACATATATATATATATATATATATAATCAAAATATAAATGAAAGTCAAAAGCACATTTTTAGTCATACCTGGAAACAAATCCTGTTCAAATAGGCTATATGGGCCATTCTATAGAATTGGTTCAAAGTTAGAGTTGGAAACATCTTGAAAAGAAAATTGTACTATAACAGTTGATTAGTTTATTTTTGACAAAACATTTTTGACAAACACAAAACAAAAGCTTATTTGATGTGGCTGTAGTCTATTTTACAGTAAAAAGTTTATAACAAAAACTAGTCAACGAAATGTTGTCTTTCATAATTCGTCTGTAACATAGGCATATCGTTGCGATCTCATGAAAGTGCGTATCTATAGCACAAATTTAATTTCTCATACCAAAAATAGATTTTGTGTGCATATGATACGCAGTTTACGCGTGCATATGTTACGCACTTTATGGCGTGTAATACACACGCACTCCACACACCTAATCCTACCCAAGGGGTTTACAGTACGTATCCTTTGCACGCAAAAACTATTTTTGGCATAGGATGGTACGAGAAATTAAATGCGTGCTATAGATACGCACTTTCATGAGATCGTGTTGTTTTTATGATATATTAGGGCATATAAATGTTAATTTGCAGTTTAAGTTGCTTATACAAAGACATTTTATTTCAACACATTTCAGTCGATTTTTACTCATCTCAGTATAGCAATATAGTTTGGTAAAAGCTGTTCATTCATTCACACACAGAAAGCGATTCATATTTAAACAGTCTTTTTGCAGTTTACATAGGATATTCCATATCGCGATTACAACAAAGCACAATAATAAAAAACTTACTACATTAGCTTGATCCGTCGCTCCTCGAAATGAATTTAAACCAGCACTTGTGATGTATCCCAAGATTATTCCTTACAGCCTCGCAAGACGACGTAAAGTAGCCTACTGTAATCTGATTAAACTTGGTGTGTTTTATCCAGCTGATGGGGGCGTTGTCACGTTTGCATGTATCGCCTCAGATCATTTGCGTTTGAATAGCGCGCGCTCTCCGTGGGCGTGATCAAATTAAAAGATAATGAGCTGAAATGAGAACGACTGACATCTCTCTCTTTTCATATAGATTACATAAACAGAGAATATTTGTTTTTGTTATGAATTAGACCATTTACTTACTCCTCAATATCTCTCGGCCCTGAGTAAGGGATTGAGTTTTGTTCCCACTAGCCATACAAACTCTTTTGAAATTAAGACTGATTTGTTTCTTTTTTTCAGAAGGATTAAATTGAGATATATTTTTGGGACTTTGAATGAAAACCAGAGTTTAATTAAACCTATGTTTAAGCCTAAAAGTACATTTGTACCTCATGTAAACCACCCCTCGATTGATACATTCTGTAGGGTTGTTGAACAGGAGATTTTTGAGAAGCTACAGACTACGCCTTACTCCCATCAGCAAAATTTGTGTCAGGATGAAAGAAATGTCATTCAAGAGCTTGGGGGGGGGGGGGGCTATTATTATCCTTATTACAACTGACTATGTAACTGAGGCATATCGTCAACTGAATGATGAAACATTCTATAGGAAGCTTAAGTGTAACCCCACTGTTGATTTTCAAAAAATAATTAGTCAGCTGACTACTCGAGCCCTAGAACAAAATTGGATAACCAAAGAAGAATTCAGCTATCTTAATAGACAACATCCGGTCATCCCGGCGTTTTATATGCTTCCTAAAATACACAAAAGACTTTTCAAACCCAAGGGCAGACCCATAGTTGCTAGTAACGAGTCACTACTAGAGCCATTATCAAATTTTGTGGATTATTTCATCAAACCTTTTGTGAAAAATCTGCCTGCTTATGTACAAGACTCTACGGATGTTATTAATAAAATCGCTGAACTCCAGGATCTCCCCCCGATACCATTTTAGCTACGTTTGATGTAGAAAGTCTCTATACCAATATTTCCCATGAACGAGGTGTTACAGCACTAGAATACTACCTTCCGAATTCGTTGAACAACAGTTTATTTTTAATGAGGATAGAAATCCCTTTTTCAGTAATATCATCAGATATTTTAGATATTTAGATGATGTCTTGTGTGTTTTTAAAGGGTCCCAAGATGAGTTGTGAATATGTGAAAAAAATCAAGCTCGTCGCGCCGGCGCGATAGCCGACCCCAGAGGGTTATTGTAATAGCTATTATGGGTGGTTGCCCTGCACGCTTAATAAACAAACTACAGCTGGACCAAAATGCAGCAGCTAGAGTTCTTACCAGAACCAGGAAGTATGACCATATTAGCCCGGTTCTGTCAACACTGCATTGGCTCCCTATTAAACATCGTATACATTTTAAAATACTGCTGATCACTTACAAAGCACTAAATGGTTTAGCTCCCCAGTACTTGAGTGAGCTCTTAACGCATTATAGTCCACGTCTATAGTTCACGTCTATTGCGATCTCAAAATTCCGGCCAGTTGTTAATACCTAGAATATCAAAATTGACTGCTGGCGGTAGATCCTTTTCCTATTTAGCACCAAAACTTTGGAACAATCTTCCTAACATTGTTCGGGAAGCAGACACACTCTGTCAGTTCAAAATCTAGACTAAAAACACATCTCTTTGACCTAGCATACACATAACACATTATAGACTTCTATAATTCAATTTAGGCTGCATAGTTTAGATCAGCCGGAACCGGGACCACTCCCCACAAATCCTGATGTACTTGTTACATCATAAGAAGGATGGCGTCTACGCTAATATTAGTCTCTCTGTTTATCCAAGGTTTACCGCAGTCCGCCGGATCCAGGCCGAATCCAGATCTGATGCAGGACCTTCGCCTAGACACGATCACAACCCAGTCCTGAAGCAGTCCCTTCCCTGTTTACTGAAGTCAGCCGGATCCCGGCCGTATCCAGATCAGATGGTGGACCTGCACCCATCCATGACGCATTCCTGAAGTGCCAGCCTCATCAGCCATGTGAAGGCCTCATCGACATGACAGCCATCGGCACTGATCCTCAACAAACTCGTCTCCATACCGGCGTGATGAATCAGACTTCCAACCAGATGGAACTGGATTAATAGTGTGCTATTTAGCATTCAATTAGATTGAATTAGGAATTAAAAGTGTATTCTCCCTTTTAAATGTATGCAAAGCTCCATTGAAAAGATTGATTTCTACCCTTGAGCTCACAGTTATGGCACATTTACTTCTCTCTCAAGTTACGTTCACTGAAATTATACTTTGCTGACTCAATCATATCTTTATAATGTACTCAATAAGATAAGTAGTGCACATCCAGTGAGCTAAAATTGGTGTTTGGACACCTAAAACAAACTTAAAAATGTAAAAAAGGACTTCCGGTGTCATGGCGGCAGCATAGTATACCTCGGCGTCCACCTCTCCACAAACTTGAGATAATTTATTGTCTGTGCGGTCAGTTCTCCACTTTTTCTTTTTTTTTTAATGATCTTTAACTTTAAAAAGTATAGCCAGGAGTAAATGCGAAAAACAAGGCAAACCATTGCTGCTCAGAGAAGTGTGATGGATGAACTTCAGGGAGAGCTCGGTGAGCAAAATGCGGCTCTGGTGAAAGTAATGGAGGTGACCATGGCGAAATACTTCAAGGAGGCCGACGAGAAATCAGAAGCTCGTTTCAATAGACTTGAGAAACGAATTGACAATATGCACGCAACTCTTTCGTGGCATACGGAAGAGATAAAGAACATTCGCACTGAATCAGTGAACCTTCGGGAGCGTACTGCCAATGTGGAAAAATCGGCTGCCTTAAGTTTGAAGAATCTACAAACCTATGAAGCTAAACTAATTGAGATGGAGGACAGGGCATGCCGGGATAACCTTCTCGTATTCAATCTTAAAGAAGGAGCTGAAGGGGCGAATGCTCGTGCCTACCTGATGGAGAAGATCTTGGAATGGTTCCCTGCCCTCGAATCCTCTCTGCCTGAGCTGATGAGGTGTCACCGCCTTGGTAAACCTCCTACGCATGGTTCTGTAAAGACACGTCCTCGTCTGCTTATGATTAAGTGCCTCCGCTTCACGGATCGAGACCGCCTGCTTGGTAAGGCGAGGAAAAGTCCTCCTCAGGTGGATGGCGACCTATTGACGTTTACCGCAGACTACAGTGAGACTACAACAAGGCGTCGGAAGCCGTGCCATAAGATCATGTATGACGCTCGTTCCCATGGATTCGAGGCTTTTCTTCTCTATCCAGCTACAATCAAGCTCTCGCGGGGGAAAGATATTTACACTTTTCAGGAGGTGAGCGAGGCTGAAAAGTTTGTTGCTTCCCTGAAGGACTAAAAGCATTGGTCTGGAGAAAAACTACGAAGGGTAAGACTGATCTAAGAAGCTTATTTCAACAAAAGTTTCTAAGAACTGCTCGGGCTGCTGAGCTATATGGCGCTTCTTGTTGTTTATTTTTTTGTTTTTTGTTTTTTTCATATTATACCTTGATATGAGCTGTCCATGTGTTGTTATCTTTTATTATCAATATTCAGGCCACGTTTAGTGGACAGTAAGCTATTCTGTTAAGTAGGGCTGGGCGATATGGACCAAAAGTCATATCCCGATATATTTAGGCTGAATATCGATATACGATATATATCCCGATATTTTTTCCGCAAAGTGAGAGCAAATGTTCTGTCAAAGCCAAATATGACATCACAAGTAGCCTCATCAAGGCCTTTTACAGCGCCGATCTGAATGGTGTCTAGCATGCCGTCTTTCTGTGCAAAAGCTGGTGTAAGCATGGCAGGACAGAGTCGTGCCTTCTGTCAGCGCAGACCACCAAGCTGCCCGGTCTTCCGCAAGGTGATGCCATTGGTCAGGGTTGATGTTAAAGACATTCATGTCCCGCTTGACGACATCCTTAAAGCAGAGCTTGGGTCGGCCACGAGGGCGGTGTCCCACAGCTAACTCCCCATGGAAGATGGACTTTGGGAGACGTTCATCTGGCATACGACGTACATGGCCGATCCATCTGAGTCGCCTCCTCCGGAACATGGTGTCACACAAGTAGCCTAGTTTTATTGAAACCGGCTATTTCAGTGAACGGGTGCAAAATCAAATGAATAAATAATAAACAGGTTTCTTCACCTGGTTCATAATTAAATGCTCAGCTGTTCAAATAACAATAAAATGTAAACATAAATACTGTATAACAACAGGAGTACCTTTTTTTTTTTTTTTTTTTAAATCAAAGCTCCATAAGGTGGCTGCGGGAAAATTAAGTTTGCAGTGAACTTTGTTTCGGGGCTGGAGCTTTCAGTGTTTCCTCTAGGATTTTTTCCAGCTGTGGTGGCAGTGATATTCCCATGGGTATTATAATATGAAAGGCTCCAATTTAGAGCGGCAACTCGATTATGTGCATCCCGTCCGCAAAATGATGCACTTGAAGCAACGCGAAGACAGCGTGCAGCGCTTCACATTTACAAGTTTAAGCACAAAGAGAAGAGATATTTGATGCTTAGTATATTATACCAATGCAACAGTTTATTGAGCCTTTTCTTTTAACAGTTTTAAATTTCAGTTACAGTGCGCATGAAGAACAATTAATAGCGCTCTCTACTCCAGTGCTGTAATCTAACAGACACCCGCGGGAGAAAGGAATATGATTTAGAAAGCGCAGTAAACTCCAGCAAGATAAAGTCATTTTATGCAAACCATAGACATTTATCTACAAATAAAGTATAATAATGGGAACATTGATCTTGAAGAGAGTGTCGTCGTGTTGCTGTCGTAACCGAACGCGACGCGCAGTTTGAATGCTGAATGGAGAATGACTGAGGAGAGATGAGTGTCCATTAACTTTAACTTAACGACTTAAATATAATTTTTTACCTCACATTATGCTATTGAATGACTTTAGAAGTCTTGGAATATAGTGCGAAAACTTTATGGTGCTTTACAATATTTTTTATGCCTTTAGTGGGGCTTAACAATAACACAATAGTATGCACAATATCGGACTTCACTGAGAAACTGCAGCCGTGGCGGGATGATGTTTGGTGTGGCGGACCACCACGGCAGAATCAATGTAGCGGAAACACCGTTTCGGGGTGTCGATGGCTTGCAGCTGGGGCTTCTGGAGCACGCAGTTTCACGCGCGGGGAGGAGTGCAGAGAGCTCAGGGTCAGCAGCTTGCTTGGAGCAAGGATCACAGCGCATATTTGAACTATATAGATATATGCGATATGGTCTAATTCCATATCGCATTTAAAAATATATCGATATATCGCCCAGCCCTACTGTTAAGTGCTATGGTTAAAATGGCTCGAGAATAATTATTAGCTTGTTTAATCAATTATGGTGCTCTGACCCGCAGCATAAAGGCAACCTTTATATTTTGTTGGAGGGTGGTGGGGCTGTGACTGTCTTTCCAAGATGACTGGTATATTTTTTGGGAGGGTGGGCAGTCTTCTTTCCTTTTTGAGAGGACTTTGGATGGTCAAGGCTGAGTATTTGTTGTCTGTTCAGGTGGTCGTTGTTGTCTTTTTACTTTTTTCCCTGTATTATTATTATTATTATTATTTTTGTGATCCCTTCTGTGTGTGTGTGTATGTGTGGGGGTGTGGTGTGTGGTGTGTGTGGTGGGGTGGATTTTGGATGCCGACCCGGACATTGTCCCTATCAAAATTTGGTTCTTTTCCAAATTTCGCTCTTGTCTGGTTCCTTTGTATTTATATGCAAAACTACAACATGAATAAATATGAGTAGTATCAATGTTATGTCATGGAATGCACGGGGCCTTAATTCTCCCCAGAAGCGCATAAGCACTTTGAAGTTTCTTTATAGAAAGAATATCCACTTTGCTTTTATTCAAGAGTCACATTTACTTGAAGCTGATGTACATAGATTCAAGAATAAATACTATCATGTGGTTGCTTCCTCTTGCTATATCAAGAAGAGCAAAGGTGTTCTTATAGCTGCAAAATGTAACCTAGATTATACCATTCTGGGCACAGGGGGATCTGATGATGGTCGAATTACTTTCTGTAAAATAGCTTATAATGGTATTAAAATTGCACTGATGAGCGTTTACGCTCCAAATTGCTTCGACCAGCACTTTTATAATTCATTGGCCTCTATATTAACAGATCTCCCAGAGTTCCAGCTTTTAATGGGGGGTGACTTTAATGCTGTATGGCTTCATGGTATTGATAGAACAGGGGTAACAGAAAGTAGAGATCAGCGACTAGGATCTATTGCATTGAAGAAATTGTTTACTGATTATGGAGTGATTGATACATGGCGAATGATGAATCCTTCTTCCAGAGAATTTTCTTTTTTTTCATCTCGTCATAAATCTTTTTCTAGAATAGACTACATTTTTTCATCCAAAACTCTTTTCAATGACATTTGCAGCACTGAAATGACCCCAATAGCTTTATCCGATCATAGGTCTGTTTTATGTAGGTTTTCATTAAAAGCTGGTCAATCTAGGGCAGTTCATTGGCGTTTTAACACGTCTCTGCTCCAGAATTATATATTTATACGTGAGCTGGAGGCGGAGTTGGAGGAATTTATCAAAATAAATGGCCCATCAGTTGAAGATCCACGAGTGCTATGGGATGCGGTTAAAGGGTGCATTAGGAATAAAACTATATCTTTTGCATCCTATCTCAATACATCTAAAAAACATAGTATAAATTGCTTGGAGTCTGAAATCGCAGCTCTTGAACATGAAATGTTAAGTAATCCCTCTTTAGAAAATATCTGTAAGCGACAGAAATTAGTTGATGAACTTAGCAGCTTGTTAATAAGAGAAGCAGAATTTACTATCCATCGCACTAGGCAAAATCACTACTATAGCAGCGCTCGTCCCAGCCGTTTGCTCGGAAAAATGATCATCTAGCAAACATATCAGCTATAAGGACTCAAGAGGGGGATATAACATCTGACCCGGTACGCATTAATAGTATTTTTCAACTATTCTATCAAAGTCTCTATACGTCAGAGGTGCATCATGATGACAAAGCCTGTTCTGAATTCCTCAAATCATTACATCTACCTAAATTGCTTCCTGAAGCTGTATGTTCCTTAGAGGCACCAATTCAGTTGGAAGAACTGAGATTAGCTATTAAAGCAATGAATAGAGGCAGGTCTCCGGGCCTGGATGGAATACCACCAGAACTGTTTGAGGCCTATTGGCCTCAGCTTGGTCCTCTATTGATGAATATGTTTAATTTCTCTATTGACAGAGGTTCCTTTTCTGTTAGTTCAAATATTGCAATAATATCTCTATTACTTAAGAAGGACAAGCCATCTTACGACTGCTCCTCCTATAGGCCTCTAAGTCTTCTGAACTGTGAAGTCAAGCTATACGCTAAGGTCTTAGCTACACGTTTAGAGGGTTACATGCCCCATTTAGTTCATCATGACCAAACTGGGTTTATCAAATCTAGACTAGCATCGGATAATGTCCGTCGCTTGCTTCATATTATAGATTTTGCCTCCAATTCAGGAGATTAAAATGCCATTCCTTCTTTAGATGCTGAGAAGGCTTTTGATCGGCTGGAATGGTGTTACCTGTGGTCTGTCCTCCAAGTCATGGGTTTTAGTGATAGCTCTATCTCTATGATTAAGTTGTTGTATACTAACCCCTCTGCAGTCGTTATAACAGGCAGCAACTGTTCAGCTAGGTTCCCAGTTTCAAGATCTTCCCGTCAGGGTTGCCCTCTATCTCCACTTTTATTTGCTTCATCTTTGGAACCTGTTGCCCAGGCAATACAGCAGTCGGAGGCTTTATAACCAATCATTATTCAAGACACACTACATTGTATCTCTCTGTATGCAGATGACATTTTAATTTCTACAAAATATCCTTCTAAATCCCTTCCACATCTTCTTAAAATCTTTAAGAACTTCAGCAGTATTTCAGGTTATAAAATAAACTGGACAAAATCGGCTTTAATGTTGTTGGGGGGACTGGATGACCAGACACCACTTTTCAATATTCCAGTTGTTAGTAGTTTTACATATCTAGGAGTCAGTCCCTCACTCAACTTGTTAACTGCTGACAATTATAATAAAGTTCTAAAAAATGTGGAGGGTGACCTGAATAGATGGGGGATGCTCCCTACTTCTTTTCAGTCTAGAATTTCAGTTATTAAAATGAACATATTGCCTCTTGTTAATTTTGTGAGTAGTATGATCCCCCTAGCTCCACTGGGTGGTTACTGGAAGAAGCTACATTCAATTATTAGCTCTTATATATGGAATAGGAAAAAACCCAGAATTAAAGCATCTACTCTACAAAGACATAGATCCTCAGGAGGTGTCAATTTGCCCAATTTTGAGTGGTATTCCTGGAGCTTTGTTTTGCGCTCACTTGCTATATGGACGAACCCAGAGATTTTGGTGTCATGGCGTCCCATTGAAGAACGTTTAACATATCCATATTGCCAGTCTAGTCTGGTATTTTCTAATATACCCCATAGTACAGTTAAACGCAATTTTGGGCCAATAATCTCTTATTTTTTTACGGTATGGCATAAAGTCCACCGATTTGCCAAAATTCCAAATACATTTTTTGCTCAATCCCCTATCTTCAACAATCACTCACTTTTAATTGAGAAGAAACCGATTATGTTCCCTCAGTGGAGTAATAGAGGGGTCTGTGTCCTCAAGGATATCATAGGGGAACAGGGTCTTCGTGCATTCCATGACTTGGAGAGAGCTTATAATTTACCGGGCACTTTCTTTTTTTATTTACAGTTACGCACAGCAATGCGCGCTCAGGGCGTTCCTTGGGGTATTGAGTTGGGGAATCATGCCCTTCATGTAATTTTTGACACTAAGGGTAAAATTAAAGGTATTGTCTCAGAGTTATATAAGTTTATAACTACCAACGCATTCTCACCCCAAGGCGTCACTAAAATGACAATTTTGACCATGCTTCAATATTCGACGCTTTAGGCACCCTTTAGCGTCAGTTACATGACACGATCCTAGGGCGTCATCTTACTGACGCTTTACCTAAGCGTCAGTTAGATGACGCGGGTAGGTTTAGGTCTGGGGTAGGGTTAGGATTAGATAGCGTCATCTAACTGACGTTAAAGGTAAAGCGTCAGCAAGATGACGCCCTAGGATCGCGTCATGTAACTGACGCTAAAGGGTGCCTAAAGCGTCGAATATTGAAGCATGGTCAAAATGATTCCCAAGGCGTCAGTTTCATGA